GAGTTGGCTCTGACTCATAGCACGCCCATGTACCACAGAACAAAACACTGCCCCGTCCTTACATAATATCAATAAACCAAAAAACCAAATTCACTTCCATCAAGTCAATTCCAAATCACAGCAACCCCCATTGGGTTTCAAAGGCTGTATGTAATCTTTATGGAAGCCGACTACCTCATCTTTCTCTGGTGGAGCAGCTGGTGGATCTGAACTGCCCACCTTTTGGTTAGCAGCACAATGCTTTAACCACTGTGCCACCAGAGCTCCTCTTACATATTAATAGGTGGCAGAAATACTTTTAATGCTCATTAATAGATGGAAGAAATCACACACTACAAGATTAAAAATAATGTACTATAAGATTCAACAGAAACAAAACAACTGTGAGCAATACCCTGTAAATTTACATGTGGAGATTACAGTTCAATAAATTGAAAGCAATTCACACTAATGCTTCTGAACAAAAAAATAAAGCCTTTTATAATATGCTCATAGAAATTAATGCAGCATTTAATAGAAACCACTTAAAACTTTGATTAAAAATACAATCCTTGGTATCTAGAGAACTAAAAATCCTAATGTGAGCAATGAAAAGTTTTTTTTTAACTTTATATGCACACTAACATACAAAAGAGCTATGAAATTAAAATAACAAAAGGGACAATTATAAAACAGGTACATGAGTACTCTGGTTAGTTACTTCTGCCTTAATAGGTAGCCCCACAGCTGTTTACCTTCACCCACTAACATCCTGCGAAGGTGTACACTATCCTTGCAAAATGAGAAGAGTCATTCAGAGGGAAACAGAGACAAGTGAAATTAATTTTAATTATTAACAAATACTTACTATCAACATATTACTACCAGGCCTTTCTCCAGAACAGTGCATCTATGCACTAGGTAATTACCTGAACAGAATGCAAAATGCACTTTCAAAACATTGAACATTAGGTAGAAGCAGACTATAAAATATTCATGAATCCCAGCTGCCAGCCAACTCACAAATCTGCAATACTTTACTTAGCTATAAAGTGCATGGCTGGTCTCTCTCTGCCAACAGGAAGAAACAGAAGAGGTCAAAGCTCCCCAGAATGGCAAAGGAGAGCAAAGGGATTAAACCCTTGCTACGCTTTTCACCAAGGGATTTCAAAACACACTCTTCTTGGCAGAAAATACTCAGATGCTTGATACTCTTATCAATTACCATCAGTAACATACTGGTCAATTCAGACCTGAGGCTTTTCAACACATCTGAACGGGCTGAGCTTCCAGGAACTGGGAGGCACGAACCACACACCCACCGCTGCGGCCTCTTCTTTCAGTCCCTTCATAACTTGTTCTCTAAAGGCTACCATAATTCAGTGTGTTTGCAACTTTTTCCCAAAATGGTTGATCTTCTGTGAAAAGTTATTATTGTAAATCAGTATGCAAGAACAGCATGCAACTATCAACAAGGTACATTACATAATAAAAAATAAGATTCTGGAAAAACATATATATATTGCAAGTGCATTTTCAATGTCTATGTCTTTGAAAAATTTGGAAAGAGCCATCCTGATACTACCATCTATACACAAAGCAGGTTTAGAGTTTCTCTGGGGATGTGTCTGTGGGGAAGAGAACAGAAATTCAGTGAATTGGGGGTGTGTCTCTGGGGAAGGGAACAGAAATTCAGGGAATTAACAGATAAATTTGACTTATCAAGTGCATGGCTCACTTATTGCCAAACAGAAATCTACTATTATAAAGAAACATAAAGCAGAGGGGAGGAGATGTATCAGAGGAGCATGTGATGCTGCCAAGACCCCAGCCCTATTCCTCTCATTTGTGAAGGGATAAAGATGTGTAGGTGAATGTGATAAATTTAAAATACACCATAATTCCAAAGAAATTCACTATTTTACGTTAGTTCTCATTTCTCTTCTATGGATTACAAATGAAATATACAGAGGTAAGCATGAGTTTCAACCATCAAAAACAATCTTACAATATCAGCTTTCTTTTTACATCAAGTGTAACATAAAATCAGAAACAGATGCAGAAAGATTAACTAGTTAAAAAGATTGCCATACACTTAAATATGAGTTAATAAAAAATAGATGGTATTGGTTTGACATTTGTAAAATTATATGCTTTTCTGCCATTGTCCAACTATCATGTGTTCATCCGAGATTCCCAAGAGAAAAGGGAGGAGTCCTACCACAGAAGTCACAGGGCATTACTAAGCACCAGCAATATCACTTCTTAGAGGCACAGGGTAAAATGGTTCTCTGGAGCCCACTACCACCTTCTCAAGTCCACACAGACATAATGCATCCTTATTGGACTCAGCTGTTTACTTTTCTACTTCTTTAACCATTAAGCTTGAACTTTCCAGTCACGCATGTGTAAGTGTATTGACTGAAACAGAAACAAGGTTATCAAGAGTAAAAGGAAAAAGCAGGATGCTGGTAAGCCGGCGGGTGTTATCACCCCAGTGCCACCTCCATCTTGGGTGCTGTCTGCTTGTCCCACCGTGATGCTCCAGGCTTTGTTTCATAGCAGGTAGAGCCACTCTGCTCCACCTGTGTCACAGTGCACTGCATGGAGCACTGGGTCCCACACTCTAAGGCAAAAGTGAAGTTTCAAGTTGACACTGTAACAATGACTTGGATAACATTTTGGATTTCTTCAAAGCTGAGTTTCTAAGAAAAACGTGGGACTGAGTAAATAAAAGTGAAATATTTCCTGTCCCGTGGCCAAATATATAATTTATCAATGAAAAGCATACAAACTAATGGAAAATAAACACATATTCACATCTGTTGAAACCAATTATAGTCACATGGATCAACTTTACAGTAAAACAGTGGTTTCTAGAGACCCCTCACTTGGATCTCAAACCAAAAAAAACCAAACTCACTGCTGTCGAGTCGATTTGACTCACAGCGACCCCTTCCTGGGTTTCCAAGGCAGTATCTCTAAGGAAGTAGATTGCACAACCTTCCTTCTGAGGAGTGGCTGGTTGGTGGGTTTGAACTGCCAGCCTTCTGGTTAGCAGTCAAGTGCCTTAGGCACTAAGCCACTACTCTATAGTAAAACAGTGGTTTCTAGAGACTTCTCACTTATATCAACTCTATAGTAAAAGAGTAGCTCTAATGACCCCTCAGCTTCAAAGTTATCTGACAGGGGGCTTCCAATGATTTTAAAAAAAATGGCCAAGATGTTTCTATTTATTCCTGGGTCTGACAATGGAACAAAACTTCTTCAAATTACTGAAATGTTAACAGAGGTTCGTAGCACTTTATTAGGCCAAAGATGCTAAAAAAACATTTGTTGTCAATATAAGAACATGTGACAGAAGTACTGTAATTCCTCTGTGAACATATACTCAGACAAAAATATGTTCCGTGCCTTTTCAAGACCAGATCATTCGACCAAAAAGGCCTTGGAAGCCACTGGCCCTAATACGAGCGGCCCCAATTCTAACACCTCAATTTCATCTTCCCTGAACATTAGCCAGGTTGGGTTTTCAGTGTTTTCCATCATCCTGACATCGCTACTGAACACACGGGAAGTAAGCCCCAATATTAGAGACTAACCTGAGGGTAAAGGCAGAATGAGAAACTAAGAAGAGTACTTTTATATCGGGAATGAGCAGATTCAAGAATTGAATTTAATTCAGATATTCACCTTTCCAACCGCATACGGTACTACCCTGAAGTGAGATTGGTCAAGAACAAGAATGTTTGTATAAAAATACAGAAAACTTCAGGAATTATGTCACCATGAATTGACAAAAGATTAAGTCAACTCTTATGGAAACTACTCCTACCACCAAGGTGATTAAAAAACAAAAGAATTTTCTTATCTTTGATACAACCAATCCTCACAACATCCCTGTGAGGTAGGCAAAAGACTTGTGTCATTTTCCACATTTTACAACAGAAAAAAGCTGACAGAGTTGAAAGGAGGTGACCTTAAAGAACCATGAAGTAAATGCCTTTCTTGTGAACCAGTTCATTACACTGAACCAACAGATTCACTTTACTTTATTAAAAGTAAACTACTCTAAAATTAAACCCTCCATTCCCCCCCAAAAAAAGGAATCATTGTAGTTTACCAGTAATCTTGTTAAGTCGCGCTCTCTTTGCCTGAAATGAGTTGCCTTGATTATTTTTCCTCTTGTTTGGTAACGTGCACTCTGGCTGTGGAAAGACCATCTTTGGAACGTTGTCTACATGAAGTCCTACTTTTAATAGAATACATATAGGAGACTTCAGCTAGAATCCAAAAGGAAGACACATACACTATTTCTAAAGTAGAAAAACAGTATAAATGCTTTGGACATTATTTTTTAATCTAGTGCTTGACACGAAAGTTTAAAAAACACAAATCTCATATCCAGATTGATAAATCAAAAACAAAAGTCTACTAAGAAGTTAGTCTTCAAAAAAGCAGGAAGATAATGACTTTCTGCTTTTTCCATATTATATACTGAAATACACACAGAAGTATTTAAAAAGTCAAAGAAAAAACACAAAACAATAAGCAAAAGAAAACCTACTACTGAGAAGTTACAAATCAAAATCTCAATTCATTTCTATTCAAGAATATTGAATAGATTTATTAGACCACCAATCTTCAGCTCTATCTGTAAGATGCTAAAAAAATTTATTTAACCATCACATTGTGCTGGCGGGGGAAATCCTAATGATATACGTGCAAAATTACAAGTAACCAAAAGGATCAACTTATTCCCTATGCACGTCTACTACTGTCACAAGGAATGAACAAGAAAGAGTATTTTGTACCAAATGTCTCACTAGACGTAGGCAGATCTTCCTTTTTTTCAACCCCTGGTGTGGCTGTAGAAGGTGGAGTTTCTTCCTTCTTTGAAGGTACTTTAAACCATTTTCTCTCATCTTTATCTTTATTGCTGTTAGCGCTGGTTCGAGGTTTACCTCCTGCTTTATTCTTGGCTGCAGCTGCAGCAGCTGCTTTAACTAAAGCTATCCAATCCTCCAAAGGAAAAACACAAAACATGAGAAGCATTAAAAATAAATCAAGATGTAATTACACTAATGAATACAAATACATGACATTTTCAAAGCTACTTCTACGCATATAAGCAAACATAAAAATCAAATTAAACTTATTTACAAGATGGATCATTAACATCACAGATTATCAAATTTAATAACCTAATGGGTTAATGGGTTGTATACCTGTCCATAAAATAGGAAAATATTCAGTAACAAATATTCTTTTCATCTATTTTCAATAAAATATAAAATAACAGAGAAGAAACCTATGACAAATACAGAATACTATGTGCATTCTGCCATAGTACGTTAGGGTTTAAGTGCTGAATTGTTTCTTTTCCATAACACAACTTACCGAAAAGAAAATAAGGGGGAAAAAACTGATTATACTGCAATTCTACAAAGATTAGAAGGAATATATTCCCAATGCATGAACAATTATTGCTTATTAGGAAGAATGTACCACTTAAAATAATGGCAATTTTATGGAAACCAAGGTATGGTTTTATTATTTGCCAAGAGAGCTCTGGTGGCATAGTGCCTAAGGCACTTGACTGCTAACCCACCAGCTACTCCTTGGGAAGAAGGTTGGGCAATCTATTTCTGTAGTGATACTGCCTTGGAAACCCAAGGAGGAGTCACTATGAGTCGGAGACAACTGCACGGCACATAACAACAACAAAAAAAAAGTTTTTAAAGTTTAAATGCTAATACATCATAACAGTCTAATATTACTAATGAAGGGGGAAAAAAACATATTTGACTTGGCCAAGGTCAACTACAAACTGTCAGTCTCCAGATTCATTTCTGGGTCCAAGTGAGTTACCATTCTTCTGACGTGCTAAAACTTACTTCTCTTTAGACTTTCTGGTTTGTTATTAAATAATTTTCACAGCTTTACTTTTAACTAAAAACAGTGACTGTAAAAATTATGGAAAGGATAAAGAAGTAGTGCTAATAGTTTTTATTATTTTAAACAAATATTTGTAATATCTCTACACAGTTAATCTTCGACTGATGTCATTAAGCTCTGTCAAACAGAGCACCAATTCCGATTCAGCCAAAATGTGCACTACCTTAAATTCTGAGCCCAATCAACTGAAAATAATTTCAAGTCAAACCCATTTAATTTACGGGTGACATTAGCAAACATAGGTCATTAAGCAATAAAGGTTGATGGCTGTCTAGCCTTGAAAATACATAGTGAGGACAATAAACCATTAAAACAAATTAAAACTGATGTCTCTCTCTCTCTCCCATGACTGACATGAACTGAACACATAATGTGCTTGTACTTAACACATTTACTCAGCAATTTTCTATTAAGTTCTCTACATACACCAGGCACTGTGTTAACATGTTGAGATTCATCAGATAATTGACAAAAAACTTGGTTCTATCCATAGGAATTTACAGTAAAAAAAATAAAATAACTATCAGACAATGTAACAGGAAATACATTAGAAGAATGAATGAAATATTACCAGGAAGCAGACAAGACAAGACCAATTTTTGACTGGGGAGAAAGACCAGTGAAAGGCTTTAGAGGAAAGGCAACAAGCCTGTAGAAGCTGAAGGACAAACAAATTTGCTGGAGGGAGGGGCAGAGGAAACAGAGAAAATGGGGACTCCCAGCAAAAGGGAAACATCACACAAAGGCTCTCAGGTCAAACTTCACCAGAACAGAAGATGGTCTTAGGCTCAGGAAGCAGTCAGCATAGCTAAAAGCCTACCAGCTAACCTGAGACATGAACTGAACACCTGTCAAGGAAAGAGAGCCCACCAATGACAAACAGGCAGCATCAACAGAGCAGGAAGAGCTAGTTCCAGAAGAAGAGCAAACTAACGTGCTAAACTCAGCAGAGATCACGTTTGGAGTACACTGAGAGGAGAGCATTTAATTCTGCTCCCACATGTGGAACAAAATTAGAAGAGAAATGCTGTAAACTCCCAGAAGCAATTTCCGGCTGCAGTCTTTTCTATTCCCAATAAACAGAAAATCAGAAGAAAGTGGAACTCACTGCATCTTTGAGAACTTAGATATTTAAAAAAATACTGGTCATACAACCTACTAATCATGGAGTCACTGCCATGATGTGATTCAAAAATTCTCCCATTATTTTACTACTGTATTTTTAATTAGGAAAGATTCACTGTCAAAAATAACTGAAATGTGATCCTTCCGTGAATTAGAACAGATAACAAAGTAATGCACAAAAAAGAGCACTGTGTTTGAAATCAGAAATCTGGGTTCAAGGAATCACTCTGCACATAATTGCTGAGCAAAATGTTTAGTCACTCAATTCTCTAAATTCTGAATTCCTCCACTGTGAAATGGAAGTATCAGCGATACCAAATGTCAAAGGATTTGCTATGAGAATCCAATACACCAATGTACACCAAATGTTCTGTAAATATAAAGGACCTCCAAAGGCTAATCTTTAACACTAGTCAACTACACACAGCAGTCCCCAGGTTAAGGAGCTTGGTTCCTAACTGGTCCTTAAGTGGAATTGTAGGATAGGTCAGAACAGACCTATATGCTATTTAGCCTGACTTTAGTGCAAGAAAAGACTTGAAGCTTTTTCAGCCTGTAAAAGATTCATGTACAGCAAGCAATAGGGATTGTAATGAAGAATTTGCTGTGGGTCAGGGTTTGTTCAATCTTTGGGGGGGAAGAAAAATACCACTGCCATCAAGTCGATTCCAACTCATAGCGACCCTGTAGGGCAGAGAAAAACTGCCCCATAGGGTTTCCAAAGCTGTAAATTTCATGGAAGCAGACAGCCTCATCTTTCTCCCATAGAGCAGCTGGTAGGCTCAAACCACCAACCTTTTGATTAGCAGCCTAATGCTTTAACCACTACACCACCAGAGCTCCTTAACCTTTTCAAAGTGAGGGCAAATTTACATAACATTACAGGGCAAGTTTGAAGTTCTCCATAAATTGGATGTTCATGACCTGGGAATGGCCTGTATCAACAAACCCTCAGGGAAAAAAAAAGGACAGAAGAGAAAAAAACAAATGCTTCCTCTGTTATATGCCTCAAATTTAAAATATAATGGCTTAATCTCTCACCCTGTAATTACTGCTGCTTTGCTTTGATTAGGGTGGAATATCAGAAGTAACAGTTAAAAGTAGAGATGTCTCATTAGAGGGGGAAATCAATCTTCATGCTATAATATACAAGTTTCACAGTTTATGTATCCAATACTACCACTCGCTCAAAATGATGAGAAAAATAAGTCTAGGGACAGATTACAACAGGGACCACAGGTCACACTTCACCCCCTACAGTATGGAAAGCTCTTGAAGGTACTCAAGCTAACCTCTAAACGCAAGGGAAGGTTTACCAGTACAACTAACTGGTTCAATCAGAAACCCTGGCAGCTGGGCTTTTACTTGGGCTTCAGTATATTAATTACTCTGGAAGTTCACAAATAGGAAATTGTTATCCGTGTCATGCTTTTTACAGGTGCTGCAGAAAGTTTGCGAGGAGCATTTCCACAGTGCATTTGTTTGATGCATTATTACTGCTGGTTAATGAAAGAAATTATAATTTTATCTTTATCAAGGAATTCTGAAACACTCAGAATCTAGAATATGTGATACTGGAATTCTGTTAGCACTGTCCAAACACCTGATTTTAGTGAAAACAAATCACAGATTTGCTAGGAAAAAAAACCCTACAAGTATTTTAATGTACCTACAATTAAAAAAAAAAATAAAGGAAATATACTAGGACCCATATTTTTTCCAGTATTTTGTATTCTGGCATTGATTTTAACGTTAACATACACCATGATGGAATGAAATACTTATGAAACATGAATGTTAAACATATCCAATAAAAGTAACACCAAAATTAATTTTCACAACCTATACTTTTACCAGGAGCTCTGGTAGCATAGTTCACAAGGTATTTGACTGCTAACCAGAGGGCTCGTGGTTCAAACCCACCAGCCACTCCTTAGAAAGAAGGTTGGGTAATCTACATCTGTAGAGATACCACTTCGGAAACCCAAGGAGGGGTTGCTAAGAGTCAGATCTGACTCGATGGCAGTGAGTTCAGTTTTGAGTATACTTTCACCACAAATCAAATTGGTTCTACCTCTCACTTTGGAAAAGGAAAGCCTTAGGCCGTTACTGTTATCGGAGCCGCCAAGGGAAATGCCTCTTTACAGGACATCAGAACATCCAGAGTAACAGAATAATCGTTTTCAAGCTAAATCAATAGAGATTCTGTTTAATTAAACAGGTAAATGTTAAGCCATGGTCCCAATGCTCTCATCTTTCTATGCAGTAACCAAGAAATCACACAACTGAATACTTAAAATATCATTTTATTTATACAGTATACAAGTATGAAGACACAAAACTTTTACCTAATCAAGAGCATTTTCATTTTAAAATCCTTTTCCATATTAATTAGAGGAAAAAAACCTGCTGATTATTTCATAACTAAATTTTTGAAAACCAGGTTACGAACAGCAGTAACTTCTCAGATGTGGTGACACACACCTCTAGACTACTACATATTTATACTCAGCTGGACTAACTAGGCCATTTCAGTACATTTCAGGATGACAATTATTTTTCATTGCACTACATGAAACAAATATGTAGCATATTTCAATATTACACATCTGTATAGATTACTTTCAAATTCTTAAATTAATTGTAGGTCCAGGTGCTGAAAATCCCAAATAACAGCAGAACATAAAAGAAAATACTTTAAATCTCTAATGGCACCTCTTCTTTTCCGTATATTTCAGGAAACATATTCAACAAATGGAATCGTGGTTTGAACTCCATCCCAGATTCTCCTGTAAATGCTTACCGTTCATTGTTGCTCTGAGCAGTGACAAAGCATGTAATACACTGCTTACATCATATGACTTGGAGAGCCCTACCTGAACAGCCTACAGAGGGTCAGGTAAGCGCCTTTTACAAGAAGATTAAAGACTATGATTTGTAGAAGGGAAGAAGAAGATAAGAAACTCAATATAAAATGTATATTAAAAATTAACTTTCTATATGATACTATATATACCAGGAAAAAACAAAGCAAAGTTAAAAAAAGGCACTTACCTCACTTCCCATAGACTGGTTACACGATCCAGCTGGGTCGATAGGACAACACCAGCTTAGTGGATGCTGAGGTTTCACCTGGAACAGAAACTAGCGACCTGTAACTTTAGCAGGTCTCAAACCGAAGAATCAATAAGCATGTGTATAATTTACTGTACATTCTAAGCTGCTTTTTCTTGCTGCTATTTGGGGCTATCAGCACATAACCCTACAATTAGTTCACTTTTTAAAAAAACAGATGTTGATCAGTCACCACTCAAGAAGACATCCCTATGGGTAGCTAAGAATGCTGAACACTCTTACCTGCCCCTTAGCATCCTCGGGCATGGCTTTAATGTGCATTCTTTTTAAACAACGAATTACTCCATCATAAAATTGAACTGTGAATGTTCCTGAAATAGGAGCAAGTCAGAACCATTAGAAAATATAATTCAACTTTACAGCAACACCTGAAATCTGACAGCAGTACCCTGACGAAGCAAACGCTCTGCAACTGCAGTGATGACCAAAGTCATCAAGTTTATGTTACTTTATTCCTCGGAAAACAACTCTCAATTCATATCTTCTTTAAAAGGTGCATAAAATAAGTCTTAATAAATTAGTTGCACGAAGTTCTAATTATTATTGAGAATTTAAAATTTACTTTTAATAACTTAAATATATGGATAGACTTATACCTATCAGAAATAAATGATCATTTTCAAAAATGTATGATATTTTCAGAGGACTTATCATCTGACCCTTTGAAAGTAGTTTCCACAAAGAGGAGTATCTGAAACATGGAAAGGAATATTTTCCCCAGAATTATTCCCTTTGGCAATAATAATGAAATGGCAAACAAAAATTATAGACTCACAGAATTTTAAGCTACAAAATACTTTCCAAGTCTTCTAGACAGAAGTGTGCACTGGCAGACAAGAACACTGAACTGCAGAAAGGGCAATGCTGCCTCCAGGGTCATTCAGCTATGCAGCTGTCCAACAATGGCAAACACCCAGCACCCCTTCAGCTATTCCCATCTTTCCCGTAACTTGGTCTGCTTCTATGACCAGAGATTCTGCTTACAAGCATCTCGTGAAGCTTATTTACTTTTTGTTACTGACTACAGGCTCTGAAGTCAATATAAACCAGTACTACTAGGAAATATACACCTTACGTAGATTTTATATTTACAGAAACAAACATTTTTTCCATCATTTCCTGTACAAATGAGGGCAGAATTCCATTTTAAGTAAACAAAGACTTGGCCTTTACAAAAGTATCAACAATACATGTGATCATTGTTATTAATGGCTCTGAAGATGGCACCAAAGCCACTGACATGTATGTGCAAAGATTTTCTGTAATCTAGAAATCAACATCTGATGCCCTCAAACCAAACTCACTGCCGTCCGGTCGGCGACTCACAGTGATCCTCCTTGGGTTTCCGAGGCAGCATCACTACAGAAGTACATCACCCAACCTTCCTTCAGAGGAGTGGCTGGTGGGTTGAACTGCCAGCCTTCTGGTTAGCAGTCAGATGCCTTAGGCGCTACACCACCAGAGCTCCTTTTGATGCCCTATCTCTTACAACTAGTGTAATGCACAGGGTCACCGACAGACAGACCCAAGGCCAAGTTCTGAAACATCAACCTATCTCATCAACAGCAAAGATGCAAAGACATGGTAAATATGCTGACAATGTCAAACTATACGTACATCTTACACCCCTTCCATTACTGCAACCATCCTCCTCCTCCTTCAACATGGCATTCCGAGCAGACCAGGCTCCTCACCAGGGACTCGTCCCTCCCTCACTGCCTTTCCTCACCTCTTTCCTTCCTCACCATGCCTTCTTTCTCATTTCCCTATGCCCGCCTAACTCCAACCCATTCGTCAGAGACCAGCTCTGCAAATGCCACCCTAACACGAAAAGTCCCTTCACTGCTCTTCATCCTACACAGATACTTAACTGTCCACATCTGTTAGTTCTGTTTGGCTTTCATATTGAATAGGCTTCCTAAAAGGGCTCTTCCTTTGCCTTTGCGGGGGTTGAGGGAGGGGAGTCAGGCTTACCCACCATGTGAGACATACAGAAATCACTGAATGAATACTCTTTCTATTGGATAGTTAAAAAACAAAAGCAAATTATATCTGTCCCTATTTCACTACTCCAAGGCTCACTGAAAATACACGTGGAGTGAATGGCAGATGTCATGAGCAGTCCCATCACTCTGCTAATGTAAGCTCAAGTTTCTTCGTTTCCATCATTTGTTTCTAGCGGCTCCCTTAGCCAGCAGACCTTCTTTCCTTCCATCTTCTCTTACTGACTGCCCTCTGTGCTCGCCTCTGGGCTCAACGGCAGGAAGCCAACATGACCAAGGCTTCAGAACAGGGGCTCTATGCCCAGCTCCCCAGAGGTGCAAGACCTAGGCTGCACCAACCAAGCAGACGTCACCTGCCTCCTGCACATCTAAGGACTGAGCTGGCCCTCAAGCCTTCCTGCTATAGGGCAACCAGTGGTAATAAAATCACAGCCATTATTTGCTGTTTTAATTCATTAAGACAATAAAGCAGATTGAGTCTTCTGCCAAGGTAAAGTGTGATTTCTCAATTAGACTAACTTTTTCACACTTTGCACAGACTAACAGACACCATTTTAAATGGCTTCCTCTTCTAAATTTTATGTCCTACCTTCTCTCATTTGAGTTTAGTTTAAATCCCCAGCATAAATCCCTTCCATGATACCCATCCCTTCCAAATAAAATTACAGTTCTTTGGCAAGATTACAAGACACTGCTTAAATTGGTCCATGCCCCTCTCCACTACCTCTTCTTCCTCTATTCTAATCCTTTGGAGGAATCCTGCACCCCTGTCACACAAAGGACTTGCAGCCCTTTACAAACGGCATACCCCCTCACTTCCATTCTTTTGCACAAACCACTTCTGCCGAAAATGCCTTTATAGACTTTCTTTATTCAGTTAATTTACTCGTTTCAGGACTCAGCTTAAAGGAGGTGCTCCTTTCCTCAGATTAAATACCCTCTTGCCAACACACTCTCACTCAATGTGTTTTTCTGGTAAACAGAATAAATGAGTGATCAAGTGGAAGAAGTAACTATAAGAGAAAACTAACCCCACTGCCGTCGAGTCAGATCTGACACATAGCGACCCGTCCTTGGGGTTCCAAGGCAGTATCACTATGGAAGTAGATAGCTCAAAACTTCCTTCCAAGGAGTGGCTGGTGGGTTTGAACCACCAGCCTTCATCATAGAAAACTAATGTATATTATCTTGAAAAATATATTTGTAAGTATTTCACAATTGTTTTAAATGAGAAATTTTAAAAAATAAGCTATTTAAGCATATTCTCAGTAACTTAAATATTAACTCTTCTGCCTTTCAAATTAGTCTATGAGTAAGTAGTTTTTTACATCCATTCTCTGTACAACATATTTATCAGTCTTAAACCACCCCTGAATTCTGCTTCATGATCAACATTTCTGATTGTAGCAACTTTTGCTCAGTATGTAATATTCTAACAAATGTCCACAAAAGACTACTAGGAAAATGAATTCTTGATTATCTTCAGAAATTCAAAAAGAAGAGAGGGAGAAAAGAAGCAATAAAGGAAATCTTCATATTGATAAAGTTCCTACTGTTTTCTCAGCAAGCCCCGTAGCTTCTTTCACTTCTGAGCTAAATTGATTTCTATTTCCCTCTGTCTCTAATGTCTCTCCCTCTCTGGCTAAGCAGTTAATAAAATAACTCAGCCGACAAGTAAAACAAGAGAAGCAGAAATAAAAGCCTGTAAACTGAAAGCTGAAAAATTATAACCAACTATTTAGCACTACAAATGTAAATAGTTTATTTAGGCAGTAAATCATGTCATGAACCATCTTACTACACAACAAATAACAAATTAAGTGCTCCCCTAGAACAATGTCAGCAGGAAATGTATTAAGTGAAATTTAAAACAAAGAGAAGTAAGTATCTGCAAGGAATGGTTGCATTTATTAATTAAACTTTAAAACACGGTTTAATTGTACTCCCAACCCCGTTTTAAGTCTCAGATCATCTCAGACACATACCTTCTTTGTTAATTGCTTCAATCTTGGCGGGGTAATAGCGACAGTCTGTCCAGCGAGCCAGAACTTCCTCCCCGGCTTTAAAATCCTAGTTTAAACAACTTTTCAGGTCAATACCGTGTATGTGATAAAGAAGCATTTCCTTAACAAAAATGGGCTTTGTAAAATTTAATAGAATGCCTTTTAAAATATGTCATTACTAGCAAAACTAACAAATGGTGGAAGTGTGCCACTTACAAAGAAATCATCTTCATCTCTGAGCCCTTCTTTCCTTAGTGCTGGTCTCTCCAGGGGTCGCAACCTATTACTATCCCAGTAAATCCACTCATCGTAACGATGGCTCCATCGCTCAAAGTGAACCAACATCTTGCCCTCCTCATAGTCTATTTTTTCAATTCGTGATGGATACCTTAAAAATAAAAAGGAGCTTGATAGCAAGAGAGAATTCTTGTATTTGTTTTAGTCAAGTACCAAGTAGGAAAATATAACAAAAGTACTGCTTATCATTAAAACCATGAACAAAACAAAATGGGTCCATATTCTTAAACTATGAAATCAATGTGTGCTTCATGATTGCTGTTTTTTTTTTTTGGTTTTGTTTTGTTTTTTTTAATGATTGTTTTCAAGGTCAGATGAAGTCAACACTTTAACACACTCCGACAGGAAATGTAAATTGCTGCACTCTTTTAGGAAGTAGTTTGGTAACTTACATCAAAGGCCTTAAACACTGTCTTCTTTTTCACTCAATAGTTCCAATTCTGGAACTACATACACAAATATGTTCACAAAACATTATTTACAATGAAAAAGAAAATAGAAACCATCTAAAACTATGGTTGGAAAAACTGAAGACTGCCTAATCAGCATAAAGCTGTAAAACAATGGTATATCCACTGAATGGAATACAAAACAGTTTTTAAGTATGGTCTTTACAAAGAATTTATCCTATGAGACAATATAAAATAGTAGCATATGTTCAGAAGCACTTTAACTGTGTAAAATAAATTATGTCTAGGAAAAAAAAATGTCATCATGTACACTGTCTCTCTTCCATACCATCCAATACTTTGTAATGACCATCAATGATGGCAGAGAAAGCTCAGTACAACTTTAAAATTATAAAAGTAACATTACATTGTTCTTTCTTCAAGTGGGATGGTTCTCCTACAATGAATTCCAAGACTAATTCCCGTTAATTCAAAACTTCTAACAAGGAAAACTGCCTCTTCATTTATACTGTTGTTACTGCTGTTGGATGCCATTGAGTTGGTTCCAACTCACAGAGACCCCATGTACAACAAAACAAAATACTGCCCAGTCCTGAGCCATCCTCACAATTGTTGCTATATTTGAACCCACTGTTGCAGGCACTGTGTCAATCCATCTCGTCGAGGGGTTTCCTTTTTCTCACTGACCCTCTACTTTACCAAGCATGATGTCCTTCTCCAGGGATTGGTCCTTCCTGATAACATCTTTAAAGAAAGTTTCACCAACCTCACTTCTAAAGGAGTATTCTGGCTGTACTTCTTCTAAGCAGATTTGTTCATTCTTCTGGCTTTTTAGTATTTCTATATTCAATATCCTTCAACAACACACTAATTCAAACACATCCATTTTTCTCTGGTCTTCCTTATCCATTGCCCAGCTTTTGCAGGAATATGAGGTAAATAAAAATACTATGCCTTGGGTCAGGTGCACCTTAGCAGCCAAATGCTTAGTCCTCAAAGTGACATCTTTGCTTTTTAATGCTTTAAAGAGGTCTTTTACAAGCAGTTTTGCCCAATGAAATATGTCTTTTCATTTCTTGACTGCTCCTTCCATGAGTGTTGACTGTAGACCGAGGTGAAACAAAAACCTTGACTACTTCAATCTTTTCTGTTTATCATGATGCTGCTCACTAGTCCAGTTGTGAGGATTTTTGTTTTCTTTGAGGTGTAATCCATATTAAAAGCTATAGCCATTAATCTTCATCAGTAATTGTTTCAGGTCCTCTTCACTTTCAGCAAGCCAGGTTGTGTCATCTGCATATTGCAGGTTGTTAAGCAGTCTTCCTCCAACCCTGATGCAACGTTCTTTTTCATATAATAGTCCAGCTTCTTGAATTATTTGCTCAGCATACAGAACAAGTAAGTACGGTGAAAGGATACAACCCTAACGCACACCTTTCCTGATTTTAAACCATGCAGTATCCCCCTGTTCTATCTGAATGACTTCCTCTTGGTCTATGCATAGGTTCTGCATGAGCACAACTGTTCTGGAATACCCACTCTTCCCAATGTTATCCACAGTGTGTTATGATTCACGCAGTTGAAGACCTTTACATGGTCAATAAACCAAAGGTAAATGCCTTTCTGTTATTCTCTGCTTTTAGTCAAGATCCATCTAACATCAGCAATATCCCTCACTGGAAGCACTGGCTCATCTAGGCCAAGAAATTAAGAAGCCAACAGACTGGAAGAGATCCATGTTTGTACCCATTCCAAAGAAAAGTGATCTAACAGAATGCCGAAATTATCAAACATTATCATTAGTATCACACATTAAGTAAAATTCTGCCAAAGATAATTCAAAACTGGTTGCAATAATGCATTGACTAGGAAGTGCTAGAAATTCAATCTGGATTCAGAAGAGGACATGGAACAAGGGAGATCTTCGTTTCTACTGCACAGTATTACAATGGTCACTTATGACTCAAATTTAAAAAAATTCTTCACTTGAAGAATTCAAGGGTAAAAAGCTGGACACTTTCTTTCCCCTGTGCAAAAGTAGCTTTAATTAAAAATTATTATGAGTCCTACACAACTTTGAAATTTAAGAAGTGATTGCTATCTACTTCACAGATTAATCACGTCACTAAGAGCTTTTTATACATCTCAAGGCCTGAGTTGGCCTCTGGTAGGAGCTCTGGTGTGGTAGTGCTTAAGGCTAACCAGAAGACTAGCAGTTCAAATCCACCAGCCACTCCTTAGAAGGAAGATCAGGCAATCTACTTCCGTAGTGATACTGCCTTGGAAACCCAAGGAGGGGTCGCTATGAATCGGATCCAACTGGACGGCAGTGAGTTTGGCTTGGTTTTTGGGCCTCTGGTATCTCTGACAGTCCACCCGACTTGGCTTCACTGATATGAATCACTTATGATTTCCTCATGTACCACACTTAGTCAAACATTTATGGTTTTGCTCATTCTGCCTAGCCCTAAATTGCTCTGCCCTTCCTGTGCACACTCACCATTCAAGCCAAGGTTTACCATGTAACCACGTGTCCAGACTTCCCTGACTACCCTTCTCCTGCTGCTCTGACGATACGTACCATGTCATAGCTGTCTCTGTGCAAATTCCTGAACTGGGTTCTGTCACACATTCATATCCCTTGAGATATTAATACATGTGACTCAAGAAAGTATGGTCAAAGAAGTTAGGCAGATACTGGGTTTAAAACAACCCAACTGCTTTCTTCATTGCAGGTCTTCTCAGTACCTTCAACAAGAGGCAACTAAAGCATCAGCATAAGGGACTGCGGCTCTCTCGCATCATGGAGTCAGGTATTCACATCTCTCCAAACAACAGCAGATTTCTAAGGCCCGTAACATAGAAATGCTCCTATGGTGTGAGCTTCTGGGGACCCCATTGTCATGCTCACCTTTGTACCCCAGCATCTAGAACAGTGACTGACTGCTCCACAGAAATAAGAACTGACTCAAAAGAATGATCTGCATGTTTCTTCAGGATTAAGGAGGCTGTCAGCACAATTACAAACCTTCAGTAAGAGCCAACACTTCTTGAGAGGTGAGAGTGGACTGAGGTGGCAGTGTTTACTAAATGGATAAAAAACAAGAAAACTCAGAGGATTAACATACCCCCTGAGGGAGACATGCCTACCTCACCCACTCAGAATCAATACTCTAATACTGTCTTTTGCAGGGTTGTCCTAGTTTCGTTTTTGCTGCTCTGGTTTTTTAATCATAAAACCCATCAATGCCATTAAGTGAACCCTACAGTGGTGCAGTGGTTAAAGCATTTGCCTGCTAATCAAAAGGTCGGCGGTTCACTCACCAGTCACTCCACAGGGGGAAGATGAGGCAGTCTCCTTCTCTGAAGATTTACGATCTCATGAACCAGCTCTACTCTGTCCTAAAGAGTCAGAATCAACTCGATGGCAGTGAGTTTTTTGGTTAGGATAAAGCTGCCCTTTAGTTTACTTTTCAATAGTCATTAGTCATTAAAGTGCTAGATAAATTCTCTCTCAGTTGTAAAACCTGGTAAATTTCTCTCAATAGATAGACTCCCTGATTTCACAGTCTAACTTATCATCTCATCTTTTCTTTATTATATAAAAAGCAAGGGGTTTATTCTCTAGGTCCCTCCAAATGTCCAATGTATAAAACACTTGGTAGTCCAAACACTTCTCAAAGTGAGGGTAGTCTAAGCAACAGTCCAAACCCATCTTCACTTTCATAACATGATCTAATTCAGTAAAGATTCAGAACCTGATTAGATCAAATAGTCTAAATCTGAACTGCATTTTTTAAAGAACACATGGTTTTCCTAAAGTATTTCAAGTTCTGCTGGCTGACAGGATGCCTGATGTAACAAGCAGACTACAATTCTGTTTTGGGGAACCTCTTCAGGATAAGCTACGGCATGTTATACTTTCCCCACACACATTTTGAGACTGACATGTAAACTCGGGAAGAAGGCCAAGAATTAAGTAAGTAATATAAATACCCAAGTTTATTGTGTTTTAATTTTTACAATGTTTACCAATCAAATGTTGAATTTTAAATAAAGGCATCACAACTATTCCCATTATCAAGAAAAGGCACCGTAATTACTACAGATTTTTCTATCCAAATTTGAAGCTCAAATTTCTCTTCATGCACTCAGCACATATTTGAACACCTATTAATACTACAGTACTTGCTAGATACTGCTGATGGATTAAAAAAAAAAAAAAAACATATTAGCCCCTGCCACCAAGGAGCCAAGAGTCAGATGAGGGGAGAAAGGCGTTAGAATAGGCGCTAAGTGTCCAGTGTGTGGGGGCCCTATGTTCTTTTTTACTGAGAATCACTGTTCTTTGCATACACTGTCTTACTTGATCTTGGCAACCATACAAGATATAAATAACACAGTCCCCTTTAAAGAGATGAAGACCTGTCCAAGAATGTACACGGCACAGCCAGAGTTCCAACAACAGAAATGTAGCTACATGATTGTGTCACACAAGGTGAAACTGGTAAGTGCATACACAAAATTCTACCGAAGATGCTCTACTAGTTCAGAGAAAATTGAGGAGTTCATTGAAATTTCAAAGGAGACTCATCTATGGGGGACTTGGTAAGGAACATCTAGCACTGAGACTTCATGAACACGACACAGACAAAGGTAAAGTGCATACACAGAACATAAA